GTAAATGTATATTTAACATGATGAGAAATTGCCAGAGACTTCCCTGGTGGTCCAGTGGCTAGGACTCCAAGCTCCCAGTGCAGGGGGCCTGGGTTCAATCCCTGGTGGGGGAACTAGATTCCACATGGCATAACAAGTTTGCATGCTGCAAATAAAGATCCCAGGTACTGCGCCTAAGAACTGGAGCAGCAAAATAAATAAAAATAAGTATTAAAGAAACTTCCAGATAGTTTTAGCTTTATGTTCCCATCAGCAATGTAGGAGAATTCTGATTCTTCCACATCCTTGGCAAAACTTCTTTTTTAATTTAACTGTTGGGTGAACATGTAGCCATTATGCTTTAACCTCTAGAATTGAAGTGTGTCCTACTGCTTGCAGTTATAGGAATTTATTGTCTGTTTTTTACAGGCTTCAGACTAACTACACTTTAATTGCTTTCCTGCATGTCACAGGGGGTCAGAGTAATACCGTGCTTGCCACATGGAAGGGCTCCTTCCTGGGCCACATGTAGTGATTGACTCTGTCATATTTCCATCCATACCTACTTTCATTATATATAGGTTCCTTCATAAACTGTATACAAATCCTGACTGTTTAGAGCATTTTTTTGCTTTTTGGGAGTATTTATATTAGTTTTGCAGTTTCCCCAGCTGGCTAGATTTGAAAAGTGAAAGTATTAGTTGCTCATTCATGTCTGACTCTTTGTGACCCCATGGACTGTAGTCCACCAGGCTCCTCTGTCCATGGAATTCTGTAGGCAAGAATACTGCGGTGGGTTGCCATTCTCTTCTCTGGGGGATCTTGCAGACCCAGGGATTGAACTCTGGTCTCCTGCATTGCAGGCAGATTCTTTACTATCTGAGCCACCACGGAGGGGTTGAAGTCACTTTTTTTTTTTTTTTTTAAGTCACTCTTATTAGCTAGCTAAAGGCCTCTTGATGGGGCCAAGTTTTGGTCTTATGTAAAAAATGAGGGGCATTTTATTAAAATTATCAATGTGTATCTTTAAAATGCTGAAGGCACAAATTAATTGGATATCATCTAATTGCCTAAGGGGGAAAAGATTGGCCTTAGTTGTGGATTTTTTGGAGGCTTGGAAAGAAGCCTTCCTTTTTCCGTCCACAATGTATTATGAAAAATTTCAAACATACAGAAAAATTGAAGAAATGCACATGAATACCTGTTTTACCTACCATCTGGATTCTGTAATTAACATTTTGCTGTATTTGTTTAATCATGTATCTGTTGAAAAATTTTGATGATGTGTTTAAGCCTTTTTTTGTGGACAAAGCATTGATGGGTAGAACCTACTGGGTGGTTAGTTACTTTTGTGTGGTGTAGAATTTAGTGGTTCTCTGATGTGGTAGTTCGCTTTTGAAGTTGATTATCTTGTGATTCCTATTATCACTGGCTGAGAGCTCAATCATTTATTTTCAAATGAATGGCAACTGGATTATGTTACACAGACAAGAGAAAAGCGAGGGAAATTGTTCATAGAAAGGGTTTGTATCATCAGGAACCCCAAATACTGCCAACCTGCTCGCCTAGCTGATATAATTAATATCACATGAGTAACTACCATTTGTTGAGTGACTACTGTATTCTAGAGCTTTATCTCATTTGAGGTCTTACAGCAACTCTGTTAGCTGAGGGTATTATTAGCCCCATTTGGGTTAAGAAATTGAAGTTCAACAATACTGAGATTGAATTACTTACCTAATGTCTCATCTGTTAAATGGCACAATTGGTATTTAAACCGAGGTCTCTCTTAACTCCAAAACCCACAGCTTTGAACCAGAAGTCTATAGTGCTGCAAGTTCCCTTTATTGCGGAATTTATATTTTACATTCATTTATGTCTTCAGAATTGATCAGACTGGGCTACACCTAATATGAGCCTGGTATAGTAGCATTCCTGTAGAAAAGGGGTATCATAAACATTTTTATGAGTATGAAGGCCTCTTAATTCTTGAAGATGGAGGACTCTTTTTGAAATCCGACATCCTGGGGTTTTTACTGACCCATTTCATTCTCTGAAGAAGTTTCAAGCTTGTATTAAATTGTCGAATGTATAATATTCCTTCTGTAATTGAACCAGATAACTATTACCAAGTGTGTTTAGAATATGATACTGGTAATTCTTTCCTGTTTCTGTTTTTTTTTTTTTTTTTTTTTTTTTAAGAGGGATTTGGGATGATAGCCAATTTGAAGTGTGGTCTTATTGTTAAAGAAGTGAAACCCAAGCAAATTTCTTTGCTTGCTGGCTGCTCTTAAGAGTAAGCCTCACTTAAGTTTCTCTGCCGATTTTCAGGGTTTATTTCTGTGAGGGACCTGTGGGAACGGTGTATTCTAACTTGAAAACTGAATGAGTGGAGGTATATATTGAAAGCAGTAGTTCTTAACCTTTCTGAGATTACATACTCCTTTTTGAAGCGGATGAAAGCTGTTAGCCCTCTTCCCTGGAAAAAAAATGCATATATGTAGACAAATACAATTTTACATACAATTTCTGTAGGGGTTCACTGATTTTCCTCTGCCGCTGCCACAAGCCTATCAACAAAGTAGCCCAGATTAGGAATCCTTTAAAGGGGAAGAATTAGGGAGCTGAAAAATAAGAGTGGAGCATTGCTTAACTTTTTTCACAAGCGCTCATCTCATAAAGTTGATTGTATTCACATAAAAATCACATTTTTAGTGTATAAGGTGTTTTCTTCAGTCTCTGAAGTGTTAGTTTTTCAGTTTGTTTGTTTTTTTTTTTAAACTTAAGGATATTTGTAAGTTAAGTTGATTCCTAGGGATAGATCAAATTTTCTATGTTGATTTTTTAACTTTTACTTTTTCAATTTTATCTCTTCTACCATCAAAACATTTTCCCAGAACTGCTAATTAGATCAAAGATTTAGATGAAATCCTTTACCAGTCCCCAGCTTTAGTTGTCCATTTCTTCTTTAACCAAAATCTCTTCATAACACATAGCTACATAGTACTTCTTTTCCTTAATACACCTAATGTGAGTATTCAGGCATTGATCTTAGCAAGTTACATGTTACATTAATCTTCACAGTGATCTGTTAGGGACTTATTGTCTCCATTTTATAGATGTGGAAAGCAATGGTAAGAAAGATCAAATGACTTGATTAAGATCAGTTCTGGCAGGGCCAGGATTTAAGCCCATGTAGATCCCTCTCCAAAGCCCATTTTCTATTTTATCATCCTGCTTTTGGTCAAAGAACTGACCACTTCTGGTCACTGGTCTGACCTGATCTGAACTTTTTTTTTTTTTTTAACAACAAGGACTTACCATATAGCACAGTGAACTATATTCAATAATCTTGTAATATGCTACAATGAAAAAGAATAGAAAAGCAGAATATAGATATATACATAAATCATTGTTGTTTTGTTGCTAAGTTGTGTCCAACTCTTTTGCGACCCCACGGACTGTAGCCCATCAGACTTCTCTGTCCGTGGGTTTTCCCAGCCAAGAATACTGGAGTGGGTTGCCATTTCCTTCTCCTGAGCTGAACTTTAAAAGCTGAAATTTCCATTGGTGGAGGGGGCTGATTTTCTTCTATAGCTAGCCAGTTGTAAAATTGCTATATTTATATGTGTGTGTGTGTATGTGTGTAAGTTAGATTTTAGGTTGTGAAATGTCAAGAGTGCTGAATTTACTGGTTAGATTGTTAGACCCGAAATAAGGAAGGAGGCTTGGCTGGATGATCTCTTGCTTGTTCTGTTTATATAAATGGATATTTCAGATATCATACACTGACAGACAATTCCAGTGATTGAAAAGTTGGTGGAAGGCTTGTTACTAAACTTAGCATCATTTTCAAGAAGGAAAAACCCTAATGGTTTGGAACAGGACTGAAAAAGTTTAAAGGGTAAATAAACTTTTGTCAGATTGACTAAAGGCCAGGTGTGTATTTCCTCACTCTCTTGGGGTAGCTATGGAGGGAACCTCCAGGTCAGCTAGCTGCCTAGTGGTTTTTGCTGAGATAGCAGGCTGGGTCAGCATTCTGGGAAGGTAGCTCAGTTTGCTGAGTGAGTTTTGTGAAACTCAGCATCTTTCTTGACAAAATTATTGTTCTTCCAAACCTTGTACTTTTCCTAGTTTCAGCCTTTATGTACAGAGTGGAACAGGAAGGAGAATGCGTAGGTTGATTTACTATATAACCTTAACTGTACATTTTTTAGTTTGAACTGATTACACAGGGCTTTAAGTGAGACACCACAGAACAGAAAAAAGTAGATAGACTGCTAAAAGAGACTAATTGAAGTGATTGGGAGAGAACAAAGGATGTTGGGTTAGATAATACAATTTTAGAGATGTTATCTCCTTGCTCTTCTTAAAACTGAGTGATAGAAGAAACTAGTGTATATGAAGATATGATCATTTAATTCCCAAGGTAATGAAACTTGATATAAGGGAAAATGAAGTTGACTGACTTGAATATATGGGGAGAAATCAGATACAAATGCCAGATAACAACTATCTTAAGTCAGTCACACTTTTTGAGTCTTTACAAATTATGGAAGCGCGTTTTGTAAAATGTTTCTTTTAATGAAATTCCCAGTTCCACAAGGTTTTAAAAGGTCACAGAACAGTTCAAATGGCAGGATTGTTAAAAGTCACTTTATTGTATTGTACACATGCTTAGTTAGGATGAGGAAATTGGACTCTTTAGCTTTAAAAGCTTTGTTTCCTCTTCAGCTTCACCTTCCTTCCCGTGTGTTTTCCTAAGGCTGTGTGTGGAGTTCTAGTATAGAGGAAGAGTAGGTCTTCTCACCTGTTACCATTTTTTCCCCCTGCCTTAAGTTCACACACACTTTTTCACATTATGATTTGTAAAAACACAGCTAGCTTTGCTGGAACCAAACTGATGCTTTTCTTTTCTGGTTCACACTTCATGACACTGGAGTGGGGGCAGGAGGGTGGAGCTCTAAGGTGTTTGGACCCTTCTGGTTTATGGGATTGTCTTTTTCCCTTTTTCCCCTTAGGAACGGCGTGAATGTTGAGGGGGCGACACACAAGCAGGTGGTGGACCTGATCCGAGCAGGCGAGAAGGAATTGATCTTGACAGTGTTATCGGTACCTCCTCATGAGGCAGATAATCTAGATCCCAGTGACGACTCGTTGGGACAATCATTTTATGATTACACAGAAAAGCAAGCAGTGCCCATATCGGTCCCCACATACAAACATGTGGAGCAGAATGGTGAGAAATTTGTGGTGAGTGTCAGCCCAACTCAATCCTCAAACACTTAGCTTTTGTTTCTCCCAATCTTATAATTTATGATATATATTAGTGCACTGGGATAAATGACTGCAACCTAGGTCAGTTTGCCTACCAGGAATGTGGGTTTACACATAAATAAAATACCCTGACCCTGATTTATTGCAGGGGTGAACTGCAGTTGAAGAGGAGTCCTATTTCTGCTTAAGTATTTCTAGACAGTTTTAAGTTTCCATTTGGGCCTATTGTAATCATGTATACGTTTGTTCTGTTTGTTTTTTTATTGATTGTCATATCTCCTTGCTAATAGTGTCTCACTGTTGACTCTGTAGAGCTATAGAACAAGATTAATTTTAAAATGTGGTATCTTCTAAAGCATTTGGGTAATACCGTTTGTCCATGTTAGAACCTACAAGTGCCCTATACCCCTTTCATGTCTTGTTCTTTTTCATTTTCTTTGGAGATATCTGTGTGAATGGTTAATTCGGGTTTTCTCTAAGGTCCTCATTATATTCTGAATGTAATTCACATGGGTTACTTTATATATTTCCAGTTTCTTGCTGTTGTAGATATGCAGGAAAGCCCATCTTGAATTTGGATGATATGTGCCAGCCCCTTTCTTTAATGCCTTTGTTTGTTCTTCAAAACCTAATTTCAGTGACAGCCCAGTCTACTTAATTTTTCCCTTGGTTGCAGTATTCTTTATTTACCTTTGATTAGTCTGGAAGTAATGGTACAATAAAATTCACTAATCTTTGTGAAAAATGCAGTGTGTTCTGTTAGGTATTGGCAAACAGACTACGTTTATTTAAAGCTGATCTGCTCTTTAAAGTTGCAGTCTCTGAAACAGATTTGTCCCCTGTATAGGAATGAGCTACTAGAATTTTATGTAGGTTTTATGTCAGTCTGGTGTATGTATTCTCAGAGCCATACACACAAAATACAGAGTTTTGTTTTACAGAGGTGCTATACCTTTTGTCTTTAACCATTTTTTAAATTGAAGTAGAGTTAATTTACAATGTTGTGTTAATTTCAGGTGTGATTCAGTTATACATATACATATACATATATATCGGATTGGCCAAAAGTTCATTCTGGTTTTTCTGTGACATTTTATGGAAAAACTCAAATGGACTTTTTGACCAACCCTCTAGCTATTCTTTGTCAGATTCTTTTCCATTATAGGTTATTAAAAGATAACTGAATATGGTTCCCTGTGCTATATAGTAGGCCCTTGTTTATTTTATATACAGTTGTGTATATATGTTAATCCCAAACTCCTGATGTATCTCTGCCCCACCCCCACCCCCTGCCATCCCACTATCTCCTTTGTAACCGTTAAGTTTTCTGCCTCTGTGAGCCTGTTTCTGTTTTGTAAATAAATTCATTTGTATCATTTTTTAAAATTTCCACATATAAGTGGTATCATATGATATTTGTTTTTTACTGTCTGACTTACTTCGTTTAGTATCATAATCTATAGGTCCATCCATGCGTGCTGTGTGCTTAAATTGGTTCAGTCTTGTCTTACTCTTTGTAATTCTGTGGGCTCTAGCCTGCCAGGTTCCTCTATCCATGGGATTTCCCAGGCAAGGATACTGGAGAGGTTGCCATGCCCTCCTCCAGGGGATCTTCCTGACCCAGGGATTGAACCCCCTTCTCTTATGTCTCCTGCATTGACAGGCAGGGTTTTTACCACTAGTGCTGCCTGGGAAGCCCTAATAGCATTATTTCATTCTTTTTATGGCTGAATAATACTCCATTCTATAAATGTTCTATGTCTTTTTTATCCATTCGTCAGTGGATATTTAGGTTGCTTCTGTGTGTTGGCTGTTGTGAATAGTGCTGCTGTGAACATTGGTATGCATGTATCTTTTCAAATTAGAGTTTTCTCCAGATATATGCCCAAGTGTGGGATTGCTGAGTCCTATAATAACTCTATTTTTAATTTTTTAAGGAACCTCCATACTGTGTTCCGTATGGCGGCAGCAATTTACATTCCCACCAATGGTGTAAGAAGGTTTCTTTTTCTCCACACCCTCTCCAGCATTTATTATTTCATTGTTAGTGTATAGAAATGCAACAGATTTCTGTGTGTTAATTTTGTATCCAGCAACTTTACCTAATTCATTGATGAGCTCTAGTAGTTTTCTGGTAGCACCTTTAGGATTTTCTGTTTATAGCATCATGTCATCTGCAAACTGTGACAGTTCTATTAAGTTGATGAAACAGTAATTGCAGTTTTGCACTGTTGAACTTTACTGCTTGATACTGGAATACATTCTTAAAGAAATGTGGTGATGTTGTCCATCATGTTAATGTGCATTTCTTGCTGTTGTTTTTTTTTTTTTTCTGATGACTTATTATTAGCTGTGTATTTTATATTTATTTCAGACTATGGAAATAATGTTAGACAAAAGCAAATTCAAGCGATTTTCTTATTTGAGTTCAAAATGGGTCATAAAGCAGAAGAGACAACTTGTAACATCAACAACACATTTGGCCCAGAAACTGCTAATAAACTTTCAGTGCAGTGTTGCTTTAGCAAGTTTTCACAGGGGACGAGAGCCTTGAAGATGAGGAGCATATTGGCCAGCAATTGGAAGTTGACAGTGACCAACTGAAAGTGACATCAAACCTGATCCTCTTACAACTACGTGAGAAGTTGCTGAAGAACTCAACATTGACCATCCTATAGTTAGCATTTGAAGCAAATTGAAAAGGTTAAGAAGTTCAATAAATGGGTACCTCAAAAAAAATCATTTTGAAGTTTCATCTTCTCTTATTCTACGCAACAACAGTAAACCATTTCTCAATCGAATTGTGACTTGAGATGAAAAGTGGATTTTATGACTGTAGGTGACAATCAGCTCCGTAGTTGGATTGCGAAGATGTTCCAAAGTACTTCCCAAAGCCAGACTTGCACCAAACAAAGGTCATGGTCACTGTTTGGTGGTCTGCTGCCCATCTGATCCACTACAACTTTCTGAATCCCAGTGAAACCATTACATCTGTAAAGTCTGCTCAACAAATCAATGAGATGCATCAAAAACTGCAATGCCAACAGCTGGTGTTGGTCAAAATAAAGGGGCCACTTCTCCTCCATGACAATGCCTGATTGTCCATTGCACAACCAGCACTTCAGAAATTGAACGAATTGGGCTAGGAAGTTTTGCCTCATCCACCATGTTCACCTGACCTCTGCTACTTCAAGCATCTTAACAACTTTTTGCAGAAAATGCTTCCACAACCAGCAGGAGGCAGAAAATGCTTTTCAAGAGTTTGTTGAACCCTGAGGCATGGATTTTTATATTACAGGAACAGACAAACATTTCTCATTGCCAAAAATGTGTTGATTGTAATGGTTTCTATTTTGATTAAATAGTAAAGATGTGTTTGAGCCTAGTTATAATGCTTTAAAATTCACAGTTTGAAACCTCAGTTACGTTTGCACCAACCTAATACTTCCTAATATGCTAGCAAAGTAATGCTCAAAATTCTCCAAGCCAGGCTTCAATAGCACATGAACCGTGAACTTCCAGGTGTTCAAGCTGGATTTAGAAAAGGCAGAGGAACCAGATATCAAATTGCCAGCATCTGTTGGATCATCGAAAAACAAGAAGAGTTCCAGAAAAACATCTACTTCTGCTTTATTGACTGTACCAAAGCCTTTCGCTGTGTGGATCACAACAAACTGTGGAAAATTCTTCAAGAGATGGGAATACCGGACCTCCTTACCTGCCTTCTGAGAAATCTCTATGCAGGTCAATAAGCAATAGTTAGAACTGGACATAGAACAGTAGACTGGTTCCAAATCAGGAAAGGAGTATGTCAAAGCTGTATATTGTCACCCTACTTATTTAACTTATATGCAGAGTACATCATGAGAAATGCTGTGCTGGAAGAAGCACAAGCTGGAGTCAAGATTGCCGGGAGAAATATCAACAACCTCAGATATGCAGATGACACCACCTTTATGGCAGAAAGCAAAGAACTAAAGAGCCTCTTGATAAAAGTGAAAGAGGGGAGCGAAAAAGTTGTCTTAAAACTCAACATTTAGAAAACTAAGATCATGGCATCTGGTCTCATCACTTTGTGGCAAATAGATGGGAAACAATGCAAACAGTGACAAACTTTATTTTTTGGGGCTCCAAAATCACTACAGATGGTGACTGCAGCCATGAAATTAAAAGATGCTTGCTCCTTGGAAGAAAAGCTATGACCAACCTAGACAGCATATTAAAAAGCAGAGACATTACTTTACCAACAAAGGTCTGTCTAGTCAAAGCTATGGTTTTTCCAGTAGTCATGTATGGATGTGAGTTGGACTGTAAAGAAAGCTGAGTGCTGAAGAATTGATGCTTTTTATCTGTGGTGTTGGAGTAGACTCTTGAGATTCCCTTGGACTGCAAGGAGATCAAACCAGTCAATGGTAGAGGAAATTAGTCCTGTACATTCATGGGAAGGACTGATGCTGAAGCTGAAACTACAATCCTTTGGCCACCTGATGTGAAGAACTGACTCATTGGAAAATACCCTGATGCTGGGAAAGAGAAGGCAGGAAGAGAAGGGGGTGAAAGAGAAGGCAGGAAGAGAAGGGGGTGTACAGAGGATGAGATGGTTGGATGGCATCACTGTCTCGATGGACATGAGTTTGAGTAAGCTCTGGGAGTTGGTGATGGACAGGGAAGTCTGATGTGCTGCAGTCTGTGGGGTCGCAAAGAGTCGGAAACGACTGAGCGAGCGAACTGAATACTTCTCCAGTTTGGATTCCTTTTATTTCTTTTTGTCTCTGATTGCTTTTCGGTAGGGCTTCTAAAACTGTTGAATAAAAGTGACAAGAGTGGGTATCCTTGTCTTATTCCTGATCTTATAGGAAATGCTTTCTTTCAGCTTTTCACTGTTGAGTATGATGTTAGCTGTGGATTTGTGATATATGGCTTTGATTATGTAGAAGTATGTTCTGTCTGTGCCCACTTTCTGAAGAGTTTTTATC